TTAAAAACAAACAAACAAACCCCAAATGAACATTACCCCTACCTATCAATGTAAAATGAGGACAGATATCAAACTTTTTTTTTTTTTTAAATGAAAAGAGCATTATTGTAGATTAGTTAATTAAGAGATAATTAAGGCAAGAGAAATAGCAGGGTGTCATGTGGTAACAACCCCCTGCAGGGAGATGAAGGCTTAAGCACATTTATTTCTGGTAAAAGGGAGCGCAGCTACCTCAGTGATATCTGCAGTACTCTGCATGTGAAACAGGTTTTTTTTAGGAAGTACCAGTCTCAAAGAACCTTAAAGTCATGCTGATCCCATAGCACTTGACTGAATTTCATCCCAAAGGGCATTTGTGAGGTAGGAAAACTCCAGGAAAGAGAGGGCCAGAGCCGTCCTCTGGCCGGGTCCCGCTAGGTGAGCGCGCACAGACCAAGCGGGGTTACCCCATCCACCCACCTCTGCGGAGAGAGCAGGCAGCAAACATAGGTGAGCCATCAAAGCTCACCGTGAGCCATACGTCCCTGTACCACGGACCTCTCAACACCCATTTGCCCAGAGCTAAAGGCTAACAGCATCAGAAGGGCCAGGAAAACTCGTCAAGAAAGGTTCAAAGGGCCTGGTCTGCGGCCTATCACCTGAACAAGGTCACTTTTCTATGAGGCAGTCGAGCTTTCTCAGGCTTCACGTTATGCTCCCTGCTGGGCTGGCTGTGACAGCAGGAGGCTCGAGGGCCCTGAAACGCAGCTGGGCTCAGCCTCGGCCGGGCAGCAGTGAAAGGAGGAGACCAAGCGCTGCCTCCCAGCAGCAAGGTAAGTCTGAGGTAAACAGTGGTCCCAATGGCCTGCCTTGGTAAGAGTACAAGGATGAAGTAAAATGTGAGAAGCACCTGGTGCCAAACCCCACGGAATTTCTACTTCATGAAAAGCTTTAAAAGATGCCAGGGAAGGAGCAGGACTCCCAGAGAAGCCCTGCAGAAGCTCCGTGAGGAGTGTGGGGAAGACGGAGACCCCAGACACAGAGAGCGCGTTGCTGGCAGCGCCGCGCAGGGCTCCCACCCCGGAGATGTGCCCTGTCCCCGTGCACAGAAGGAACCACCTTCGGTTTTGCCAGCCTAGATGTGATCCCTCTCAACAGCTTTTATACCACAGCTGCTGAGGCAGTTGAGGTGTTACCCACTTTCAGAATTTACTTTTCTTAAACACCTCACATGCTGCGATATTAACAGTCGTTCACGACAGCCACTCCTTGGCCTCCATTGTGTGCTTCAGCATGCTCCAGCAGGCACATGTTATCACATCGCATTTACCTCTACGTCAAAATAAATAAATAAATCCTTGTTTTCAGCTCTATCCTGTTCAAGCTAGTAACAGGGATAGAAAGGAACTTAAAGGCTGCATCTCGAAAGAGTGGGAAGAGAAAAGGAAAACACCAAACACTTGGCTTCAGAGTTTATGCAACGCTCTGATCATTCAGCTACTGTACCATTTTATGAAGTGAAACACCCAAACCTGCTATTTAAAAATTTAACATAACATAGATAAACATAGATGAGTTGTCTAGCTCAACAATATTAAGCCTTGTCCAATGGTTACTGCAAAATTATTTTTCTTCTCCTTCCGCTTACTTTGTGCTAAATTATAAGTGCCCCTTCCACAGATGAGAAGCCAATTTCAAAGTGATATATTTTGGTTTTTTTTATAAGCCACTAAAACATCCTGCCTTGATTCACACATTATTAACCCCAGCTCACCTGGGGCTCACTAACCATTGACCTTTGTTTTCAAGTATCCCATGTAGATCATAAGTAAACTAGAAAACTTACCGCCTCCAAGCTCATGCTATCTGGAGTGGGAGTAAGAAAATACATATTCCAAAACTGCTATAAAAATAAAAAAAGTAAAATTTAATCATTGCTGTCATGGAGATGAGGATCAGCACTTGTCACTTGTCAGCTACTACATTTGGTGCACTGCAGAAACTGTAATTTCCCTCTATTTCTCCCTTTTTTTTTTTTTTTTTTTTTTTTTTTTAAAAAAAAAGCGCATTTGGTAAAACACTTGGTCAAGACAAAAAAAATAAAATAAGATCTTATGGCCCATTGCATGTCAAGAGTGGGGAAAGACAACAGGGCAGAAATCACGCAGAAAAAGAATAAGCCACAGCATTAAGAAGGTATATCCAAAAGCAGTGTATGTATGCATGGTACAAAAACATTCTTTATACATGCTGCAAAAACATGGAGCTATAGGAGACATGTTAAGATTGCTACAAACCATGTATGAATGGAAGAGAGAAGTTAATCTAACCTGATCCTACAAATAGAGACAGGCAGCTGTTGATTTAGTTTAAAACTTCCCTTTAGTACAAGAAAGCCCATGTAAAGCCCATTTCTGATTAAAACATTCTGACTAAAACATGAAAACATTTTCAAGTGACCTGATCCATGGGATGCAGCAACTCGCAGAGTCACTGCCCCTTCCTAAAGGGGTTCCTAAACAGGAACAGGTAAGGGACCCAGAAGGGAGACAAACTGCACATGGGGTTAGTCACAACCACTGGTACATCGGGCCCTAGTGTGGGAAGACATTTCATTTTTGAGACAGTTGCCCTTCAGTAATTCAGCTTCTGCCCAGCTGAGACAACAGTGGAACTGCTGAACAAAACCTCGAGTCACTGCACAAAATATAAAGCATGTAAGCGAGGCCTGGAGCCTGAGTGCTGGTAGGGATTGGCATCAAAGGAAAAGGAGAGATCTGTGGGACCAAGACTTCTGGTGACTCACTGCCCTGGTTAAAGTTAGCCATCTACTAGGCCAACCGTTTGGTGCGGGATCCAAAAAAACCCCAAAAACAAACGAACAAAAAAACCCAATATATCAGCCCAGATTCTTCCCAAAGCCAGAGTGGGAATAGAGGGCCTGAATTTGACTTTCTTGTTTTTTAGCATGAAGACTAGTTTGAAGGACGTAGAAGGAAGCTGCAAGGAAGGGGAAGAACGGGTTGAAGGCAGAAACAGGCCAAGAGCCCAGGAGCTTGTACCAGTGCAGAGCAGCCAAGAGGCACCCAAATCCACCGCCGTATGAGCCAGGGCAGCGCTGGCTCTGGGCACCGGCGCTGGATGCTATCCCGGCTGTGTATTCTCACCAGAGCAAGAGAGAGCTTCCTATTAGATTACGGAGAGTACAAGTGCTATCTTCAAGCAATAAGAGTAAAACACATTAGTAATGTGAACCTCAACCTTCATCCCTTTATCAAATTCATCTCACAATCCTTTAAAATGATGACTGGACTTTTTGGTAGAGGTCAAGAAAGGTTTAGCTGACTGAAGTAACTGACACTAATAATATAATCATCTTACATTTTTATCTGGGGAATTGCAGATGTTGCACATCGAGGTATTCTTGTTAGCTCGTGATTAACAAGGTGACATACCTGAAGCAACAAGTTCAGCAAAATTCTAAAAATAAAGTTTAAAGAGTACTGTGTCAACAGCAAAAGCATTTACTTGATGCTTTCAGCTGTTTTTGTTTTCTGTCATTGATGGTTTTCAATTTGAGGATTTTGTGGGTTTCCCCCCAAACACATTCCAGATTGTACACATAATCCACAATATTAGCCACAATTATAGCCAATTTATTACAGATATTATTTCCCTGATATTGAAGTGTTATATATAAGCATTTCTACAATTAACACATGCAAAATAAGTCATAGAAGTCTGAATAAAGAATGACTAAACTTACAAAAGTGACAAATGGTGAACCTTCCAATATTTGCAGTTAGAATTATCAAACTATTCCAGCTCCAATCCCCATCTGTGAAAGTTCTCACCATCATTTTCTGCTTTACACAGAAAAATCTGTCAATATCATTAATCAATTATATTTTTAATATGCTCACAGGAAATAGATTTTTTTCAATGCATTTTACACATTGTATGAAACTTAAGTCTTTGTTTAAAGGAGTAGTAATACCACAAAAGAGGATTTTCAAGTCCCATGCACAATAAATTGTTGATATACCAATCTAACTTAAGTAGGAGAAGGCAGAGGCGAAGCATTAGTGCCTGTCTTTTATCCTGCAACTTCTGCAGGTCTCTTCATAAAAAGTGACAGCAATATATAAATGAGTGGATCTACAGCATGTAATAGAGACAAAAGTAGCTTGCATAATACTGTTTTTAAGAAAGGGAAATAAAAATTGGCCAAGTTTCTTTATTTCATATTTCACATCTTCACTCAATACTGTTACTGAATGTTTGAAAAATTGTCCTGTACACCATGAATATACAAAATTTACCTGAAGCATTAAGTCTGTAAAAATACAAACAATCCAGTCGGACCAAGTATAACTGAAGACACAGCAGACATTAAAGGGATTGCTTATCTGGGCTGAAGATAAAGTCAAAGGAAGACTTATCTAAAAGAATCACAAATTATTAAAGAAATACAACTATGTAAATTAAGATGTTACCACTTTGTTGGAAGAGAGAAGAGAAAACTGATGGATTTTATTTTTTAACTCAATAAACAATGTCACTTTTTAGAGACACCTTGGCGGTCAAATTACATACAACTAGAAAACTCACTGCCTTCAGGCACCCTCATACCAAGTGCAAATCTGCGCAGTTATAGAATATATTTATAAAATATACTATATGCAAACATCTTTACAGAGCTTTAAATCAAGCCAAAAAGTAAATATACTTAATGGTACAACAGAAAAAAATGAAGAGATCCAAAACTTGGGTAGTATGATCATGGCCCTTTAAAGCCAGAAGAAACCAATTTGTCTGCAACAAAAAGGAGATGGGACTTGCACCTTAAAACTTGAATGCTAACAAAAACGAAGAAAATATCCTCTGTGCTTCTACAAATGAAAATAAAATTAGCTTTCAACTGACATTTTATGCATTGTCATTACCTTAAAATACCTTCTAAAGCACAATGTCAACCCCTTAGTAATCCAATAACCAATCACATAATTGAAAGGGGCTAAAATGAAATTATAAACTACATAATTCTAAGGAGTGCAGTGCTCTGGAGAAAGCTTTAAATTAAAATCATTTACTCATAAAGCTAGTGTTAGGCTTTTAGTAAGAAGAAGAAAACTGGAAGCAAGAAAGCTGCAAGAGTACAAATGGCAAAATCGTTCCAGATACACCGAGTGTAAGAGTGAATTACCCACTGTTGCAGACAGATACATCCATTTGCTACATTATTCACTTCCTTACTTCATTCCATCGCATGTACACACAGCTTAAGTATTAAAATGCAGGATAATAAATAAAACGGCTCAGATTACTAGCAAAGGGCAAAACACAATCCATAGTTGTGCTCTATTTAGTTTTTGTTTCAGCAGTCTTTTCTCTTGTAGTTTGTAAGAAAAATCAGTCAGACTTCCAAAAAGAGTCATTCTTTTGTATCAGAAACTCAAGTTCATTTGCCTAGGTTTATAACCCAAGAGGTTTCTGTGAAGGAAGCACAGTGCAAATTATATGATACTAATAAAACTTGCTTACATAGAAAGAAGTTTACTTGGTTATTGTTAATTGGTGTCCCTATGAAATACATTGTAAAACAAAGATTAAATAAAAGGACAAGGTTTGTTTTATTTTCTCAGAGCCTTTTTTTGTTTGCCTTTTTTTTCCTCTAATCCCTCCTTTGGAAAGCTTACTGAGTTACAAAAAATCTTAATAAAGTTCCAGTCTTCAGCAGCTAACTATTATAAATGCTGCCAATCGATGCCAACTAGTGTTTGATTTGCTTCTTGTGCATGTCCAATCTCCTCTGTGATACTGTGCTGCTGCCAGAGTTTTTGAATCTTTTTAAATCGTTCTTTGCACAGATGTAAGGGGTTCCCACGTCTGAAAAGGAGATAACACTTATCAGGAATGATAAAACACAGCAACTAGCACACACAGTCAGACACTACACTACATACCCAGATAACCCTTATAACACTGTTCTCTTATCATGCCAAATCAACACACAACATTTTAATAAGGGTATTTTTGGGCACTGATGTCTCCCTTCCTTCCCCACTCAAGGTTCCCCACAGCCCTGGGGAATCTCATGCACAGTTCACCTAAGTGTGAATATAGATTTTCAGCAAACTTTCCATGCCAAACTAACTAACACTGCATGCTTTTGACAAAACTCAAGTTCGTAAGTATTTAGATATTAATGCCTCTAATTGTTCTCTCATAGGAAACAGACAAATTCAGACACAGAACAAATCACTTGCAATAATGTCACAGTATCTTCACTAAATTAACAGAGACAACAACACAAAAAAACCACACTCCTTATAAACACTCCTTATAAACACAGTTTTCTGCAGTATTTTCTAGGAAACTTCACAAACAAGAAATATTTAAGGTTCCACATTTTAGGACGACTCCTTATAACCAGAAAGAGATCTACTGTTATGTTTTTAACATTAATACACATGGTAACATTAAAATCTTTGAAGATATCAGACAACAGCAATATCAAAATATCAATTAAAGTAACAGGGTTTATTTTATAAGCTTTTAAGACTTCCTTTACTAAATATATATACATATATACACTTTAAATATTTACCTGAGACCCTGGTCTGTCTCTCCATAGTCATCAAGGTAAGGAGGAGGATAAAAGCAGCCCTTGGTTTTTCCAGCTAAAAATAGCACCTGACATTCTCGTACTCTAGAGAGACACACAGAGAACATTTGAGCCATTGATTTTAATGGAATAGTTTCTCATGCTTTCATGGATGCTGCTGTTCTATTTCTCAACTGCCTTCATTTTGTATAATAGGCACATATAGTTCAAGAGTAATTTTTTGAATTAGAGACCTTACTTGCTAATGCTAGTTAAACCAAGATAGTTCCACATGTCCTCTATTATTTGCCATCTGTGTAAATTACTCTACAAAACCACCACAAGAAAATACAATTTCATTTTTCACTGCTCTTTGCCAAGGTGAAAGCATACAACATCTAACCTCCTCTTGCATACGTACAACACAACCTACGAGAAAATTATGAGAAAACGTAACATTATGATCTGACACATCTGAGATAATTGTGGATTAAATCTTCTAGGGAAAACAACTAAAATTCTCACATTTTCAAAGGAAAAAAAAACAAGGAATTTAGCTTCACTATTTTGTAATACTTCAGTAGAAATAAAAAGCACATATAGAAGACATATCCTGCTTAATATGAGATTCGAATTTTCCATGATCTTCCCTTTAGAGAAACAAGGTCAGAATACGCTGAAGCGTAAGGAAGACAAATACACTCTAGTTTTTAAGAAATCCTGCTACACTAGTAAATCATTTGCTAGTGTAACTTCCTTCACAAAAAGACCCCCCACAATTCCCTTCTGGAATGAACTATTTTATGTCTGCCCACACTATCTACCTTAGCAACATCGGGAGAGATGTTCAGCTCCTTACCTAAGGAATATGCCCACGCCGGAACCGCAAGTGTACGTGTGTGCAGTGCAGGCTCCAACATCTTCTCCTTCTAATTCGGTTTGACAACAGTAGCTCTGAGAACACAGCATAGTCCCACACACAAGGCACAACGTTGGGGCTCTGCTTTTATCACCACCTGATTTCGGACACCTTTTGTTAAGCAAAAACAGAAAATCCACTGTACGCGTACTCTCTAAACAGTAGGCAGATGCAAAAGCATTTTTGAAAAACTATACAGAGTTTATATGCTGCAATTTTTGCTTCACAGAAACACACAGATTTTTTTGCTAGAAAAAATGACAATCCATAATTGCCATTAACTCCATGAGGCTATAAACAGTCTTTGTGAGGGTTTCAGGCTAGGGCACTTTCCAGTTCATCAGAAACAATAAAAGGCTTTAGGGGTCTTCATTATAATTGCATACAACTTACGAGAAATTAGATGCTTGATTAATGAGACAGCTGTAGTCATCTGGAAGGTCTATTAATTTGTTGGATTCTCTTGCATAGCTAAAATGAAAACAATCAAATTAACCACTCAAAGTTCAACAAATAACACACACTGATTTCAAACTCATTCATGACTTCCTAAGTGTCATCTAAACAGCATCTGTGAGTAATTAAGACTTTAAATTTAAGCTTTGACATCTTTCTTAATTTTTTTCAATGCCAGTATAGGACTCCTCAGCTGTAACAAAATAAATATAAAGCTACTGTGGTACAATGGACCCTAAAAATTCGTATACTTTGAATTAGAATACATTTATAATGATTATTTACTAATCTTTGTTATTTCCTAGTATTTTTTACTGAGCATACTGGGAATATTTTGACCAGGGTAAATTCACAGACCAAACTGTGAAGAAATTTTTGCAAATACCTATTAGCTCTCTGAATCATACAAGCCAAACAGCAGAAGATTTTAAAGGCAGAGAATGTCACTGATAAGGTACCATCGATCCCTTCAAGTACTAGTCACTGGGAGGGGTAGGGGAAGCTTTTTAAAATTTTCCTCTTCTCTGCTATCTACAGGAAAACACTGACAAATATGTTTCTAAATATTACAAAAGGAGTACATGCTCATCTAGTGCACACCAATCTTGTCTTACATTATGTTGCATTTGTTACAAATTTTGGAGAATAAACATAGGTAGAACATCAAAACAACATGCCATATCCGTGCTTTTAGCAATGCCTGATAATGAAATTACCATGTTTAACATTATTTGCCAATAAAAAACTGTATTTGTAACTGAAAACTGCAGCATTAAAGCTTCTACCTCTTTCCTATTTAGGATATCTCCATGTTTACCTGATAGCATGTCTCTTGCCTTCCAGGTATCTTGTTACTTCACTGTTACTACACCAACTGTAAGAAAAATGGAATTTTAGCTTCAACAAATAATACTTTCTCAAAAGAAGTATGTAAAAAAAAAAAATCTTAGGTGCATCTACTCAATACTTAAAAGACATTATTTCAAAACATCCCTTTTTCCCCCACCCCCACACTTGTCAAATTTTATCATTCATTTCCACATATGCACTCCTGGGAAAATACTTGTATTACTACGTAACACAGAATTAGTTATATTTAAACGAAACATGAAAAGCTGGCTTACCTTTCTATTAAGGTGTTCATAATGTCACTATTTTCTTGAAAAAGGCAAGTGAGGTTGTTTGGCAAGGAGAGATAGCTACATAAATGTTCAAATTGGTTTGTTCCACTGACTGCAAATAAAGAAAGAAACGTGTAATTCTTTTTTATATTATGCTTACACAAAAAAGTATATTTTTCCATTTATTAAACAGCAATCCACAGTAAATGCAGTAAATGCACTGCATGCCTAAGTGGAACAACCATCCATTTTAATATATATATATATTTTCTTTTGTTTAACTGTATCCCTCCCCATTCAAAACATGTCATGAGGGAGTGCTGGTCAAGGCCCCAGACTACATTTGCTGTACAACTGCAGGCAGTGGCAACAAGCACCTTCAAGCCTTCCCTCGTAGCAATCTTCAAGTCTGGTAAGAAAAGCAGCACAGCAGAGGGCTCAATGGCCTCTACAACTCTGTATGTTTTCCTTTTAATGTAAATTAAATGGCTACTTCATGTCCTTGGTCTCCAATTTTGTCATGGGCTACATGCTCAGGCAGCTGCCATCTTGCCCTCTCCATGATCAGAGAATCATAGAATCGTTAAGGTTGGAAGGGACCTCTAGAGGTCATCTAGTCCAACCCCCCTGCACACGCAGGGTCACCTAGAGCACGTGGCACAGGACTGCGTCCAAGCGGGTTTTGAAGATCTCCAGAGAAGGAGACTCCACAACCTCTCTGGGCAGCCTGTTCCAGTGCTCTGTCACCCTCACTGTTAAGAAATTTTTCCTTAAGTTCCTATGGAATTTTTGATGTTTCAGTTTCCGGCCATTTCCTCTAGTCCTATCAGTGGCCACCACTGAAAAGACATCATCCCCGTCCTCTGCACTCCCTCCCTTGAGGTATTTATATACACTGATTAGATCCCCTCTCAGCCTTCTCTTCTCCAGGCTGAACAGGCCCAGCTCCCTCAGCCTCTCCTCATAGGGCAGATGTTCCAGGCCCCTGATCATCCTTGTAGCCCTGTGCTGGACTCTCTCCAGCAGCTCCACATCCCTCTTGTACTGTGGAGCCCAGAACTGGACACAGTACTCCAGATGTGGCCTCACCAGGGCTGAGTAGGGGGGCAGGATCACCTCCCTCGACCTGCTGGAGATGCTCTTCTTAATGCAGCCCAGGATTCCATTGGCCTTCTTGGCCACGAGGGCACACTGCTGCCTCATGGTCAACTTATCATCCACCATGACACGCAGGTCTTTCTCTGCAGAGCTGCTCTCCAGAAGGTCGGTCCCCAGCCTGTACTGGTGTCTGGGGTTATTCCTTCCCAGGTGCAGGACCTTGCACTTGGCCTTGTTGAATTGCATGAGGTTTTTCACTGCCCAGTTGTCCAGTCTGTCCAGGTCCCTCTGGATGGCAGCGCAGCCCTCTGGGGTATCAGCTACTCCTCCCAGTTTGGTATCACCAGCAAACTTGCTGAGGGAGCACTCTGTGCCCTCATCCAGGTCATTGATGAATAAACTGAACAGGACTGGACTGAGGACCGACCCCTGGGGGACACCGCTAACTACAGGCCTCCAACTAGACTCTGCACTGCTGATCACCACCCTCTGAGCTCTGCCATCCAGCCAATAATGCTTGCCCCCTGGTTTGACTCCTGGGCCTCAGCTCCCACCTTCCAGGACAAGGAGTCTCAGTGCCTCTTCTGAGGCAGACTCTTTTGCTCCAGAATAACAGAGTGAGGAAAACCAAGAGGAAAGCTGTGCCCCTCACCCTCCTCCCATGGTCAACAGGAATCCCTTCTTGCCACCCTCTCCCCAAAGCCTAAGATGGGTGCAGAGGGCAGCCCTGGGGTCAGTAGTGGGGCTGGGGAGTGCAGAGGAAAAGCAAGACCCCCTGGGACACCTTGGCCTTGCAGCCAGAGTGTGGACCATCGCTCAGGGAGGAGACCTGCCAGGCAAGCCAAGGCCCTGGGATTCAGGCATTGCAGCAGTGAGGCAACACCTCCCTCTGCTACAAACGACTCACTAAAGCCCCACTGAGCATACAACGATGGGAAAAAAGGACTGCTTTCATGTCAGCTCAGCCAAGTTTCATGATTAGTTTTAAAATGGGAAGCCTGAAGCATGCAAATCTGCTTATGTGATATTTTAATTATGATCAAAATCTCCAGATTTATATTCAGGCCCTGCATAAGCATATGTGGAACACAGTAAAGAAAGCAAGCCACTAACACAGACTATTTATAGTATAATGTAGCATTTGGGTATCTGAAGATTTCCAAGAAATTCATTCAAGTAAAAGCAAGTCTCATTTCAAAACAGTAATCACCAGGAAATTTGATATAATTGGTATTTCTCAAAGTCAATTATTGTTTTAAGTCATCTTAGACGATGGAAACCCGTGTTTGGTCTGTACATGTCTTTTAAAACTTTTTTTTTTTGCCTTTTAAATGCAGATACAATTCTGCAGTGGTAGCAATTCAAGATTTATTCAATTCAGCTTCCTGAGTTTACATGCAATTTTGTCAACTAATCCTTGTGTCTTTTGAAAAGCTGAGTTAGTAGCATTAGTACAAATAAGCAGACAGTACCTTCCATTTCTGAGGGTGCTGGGACTCCATTTAAGTAGTGAAAAAACAAAGCAGAACATCTCAAGAAAGGCATGATTCCAGCTTTTAGATTCTTCCACAGGTGCCAGCCCGAGGAAATTTCTTTCAAGGCACTTAAAAAAATGATAATGAAAAACTCTGATTTTATTTAATGGTTTCAGTTTGAACACTATAGGTTCAAACTCCAAGTATATTTCATAATAAACAACTTAGCTGAAACAAGCATTATGTAGTGTTTACATCAACACTAACACTAAGAACACAACTGAATTAGAGATTTCTAACAACATATGACACAATTGATAACAAATTTAAAAAAACTTTACATGGGCATTTTACATCGTAAGAAGTGCTCTGAACTCGAGATACGACCAATTTCAGATTCATGCATATTTGCAAACTGACTGAAAAATATCATTACAGAGCATAGTGCTGGACTCAGAAGTTACAGGATCAGTCACTAGGAAGGCTATCTAGAAGCAGTGTGTAGGGAACAGGATGCAGAAGTTAGTGTTAGAATCTAAGCTTTGACAGCATTAGTATACAGAATTCTGTTTGTGGTTAGTGTTGAGTCCAGGAGGGAAAAATATTATCAAATATCATCTGAACATTTCATTTTACCTTCCTGTACACTGGCAAAGAAATTTATACAGCGTAAGCACAGCTACTTCTTCTTCACTGCTAGCATTTTCTTGATCCATGCCATTCTCTTCTGAAGAGTAAAGGAGTAATAAATTACTTCCACAGTTTGTACACCAAGAATGTAATTTTTCCAGTTTTGAGAAAAAGGCCAAAACTAAGTGACATATTTCACTGGAAAGCTGAGGCTATGGTACAGCATCCAGGAATAAGTTATTCTGCTGCACACCTAACTGCCAGCTCCAGTGAGGCACTGGTTTGCTGGGCTGGGGTCTTTTTGACACACTACAGTTTATCCAGTTCCTCTTGCCAGAAGATGCATCGATTCTCTTCATTAACTACAATCTATTCACCATGCAAAGCACAAACTAAGCTTTGGCTTTCAGGTACCTCTACACAAGCGAGAAAGCTAGGATTTTGACTAGCTATGCCACAAAAAGCCTCCAGTGCAAAAAATAATGACAGAGTGAACTTTCATGAATACCATTTATCAATAGTTTCTGGTGAATGAAAAAAGGAAAACAAACAATATCATTTTGCCAGTGTAAACTGCATGTATTCGCTAATAGCACCTTAGTGTTTTCCGAGTAAAGATTTGAGTAGACATTTGAATAAAATTGAAAGTTAGTTACCTGTTGATGAGGTAAGTAAAATCTGTATTATGTGTGCCATAGTGACAAGACGGAACAAATGAAGATCTCCAGTGCCAAGACTAACACCTGAAAAATCCTGACAAAAGAGAGCACCAAGTTTACCTGCAGAAGAAAACAAAGAAGCAAGTGCATTCCTTTTCCTTTTGAATCTCCTGATCTTCTCTTAGTGCTGCAGCTATGCCCTTTTGGGGAGGATACTTAATAGGGGTAATTCTGAAAATAACTGCCAATCACAGCTAGTTATTTCTAATCCCGAGTTAAACAGAACGTTTGCTATTAGATGGTTGACACACATTTAGGATGTTGCATATAGGATCAAAATATTAATACATGTCATGGACAACTTACCAGCAAGTGAAACATATCAATGTCAAGTATGCATGGAAGATTTCCATTTTTTTCATTAGGCACCAGTGCTGAATATTTTATAGAGAGAGAAAAAAAATTATACATGAAAAGATTTTAATATATTTCAGTTACAAAATGAGACACATCTTTTACTAACATGCTTATAACACTTAATATAGAAATGTGAAATTTTTAGCCAGAAATACGTGAATACAAGTGTTGTTCAACATGACCAGAGAAGACCCTTGCCCTTCTTGAGTATACTGTACTGAAATGAAGCAAAATCTAAATACCTTACAGTAAAGCAAGCACTGCTTTTTTTCCTCTACTACTATCTGTCTTTTATTGCTTATGTTTGCAGAAGGAAAAAAAGAAACAGAACATTGTATTGTTTTCTGAATTCTGACCCACAAAAAAGCTCCAGTCGTGGGTCACTAAACTGAAACTTTTTTTTTTTTTTTTTTTTGCTGTGCAGCTGCTCAGAAGAAACTTCTGCAATTGTCATTACTCCCTCAATTTGCTTCATGTATATGGACTCAAAAATCCATTGCTATCAAGTTCTTTACCATTTTGCTTCTCTTCCAATTAAGACAGAGAATGCATCTCTGTTGCATTCATATTCTAAATATGCATCTCTGTTGCATTCATATTCTAAATATAAACGCAAAAATTTTGAAAATATTAGCGCACACTTAAAACGCCCAAGAAGAGTCAAATACCTCTCTTCAAGCAAGAAAATTTCATTTACAATAGAAGTTTTTAATTTGAAGCTATGAGAATAGTTTTACAACGTGGGTAAACACATTAAGCAGCCAAGTTTAAAAACACTGCTTCAGTTACACCATCAGTCTTGTATTATCATAGCTCATACCTTTGAGGGACATAGAAGTTTGCAGACATGTTACAAACCTCTACAAAGACCCTATTTTCTTCCAATACTATTTTAAGCAATTTCCTCCCTTTTGAAGTTTAAGGCATTATTGTGGGTTTTTTTGAAAGACTACTTGCCCTTTCCTCTGCCCTACGTATTCGTCCTACAGAAGCAGGGATACAAATGCTGGTGAGAATCAATATATTTCCTTCACAGCAAAACACCCATGCTTTTCCTGAAATTTATCTTGGAACTGCAGACTAAAAGTAATGCTGTTTTTCCATGCTGCAATGAAATATGTATAGCAGCTAGAGGTAAAAATACCAGCACTTTGTGTTTTAGTTAAAGCCTCTATATCCTCCATAAATCTGTGTGATCTTTTGGTTATCAGGACTGTAACGGTTTTTCCATAATTACATTTCTCTGTCCATATCTTCGGAAAAAAACAGAATAAGATAGAAAACTTACATGCTAAGAGAGTACAAAAGTGACCCTGTACTGCGGAAAGAGATGAAACTGTCCAATGAGCTGCTGCAAATCTTGTCAATGATGTAAGGCAGTCATCCTTCAAAAACAAAACAGAGACACTGCCACAGTTAAATATGGCCTTCAACATGAAAAGGTCTTTTCCCCCTTATGTTCATGCCACTTTGTTGCAAGTTTATGGGAGCAGAGAGTGTCTGCAATGTGACAAAAACACACATGTGTTTGCAAACATCTGAGTTTCTCTTAGTCTTCTTTTGATTGTCACCATGAGAAACTCTGGCCTTACTAAACTACACATGCATTTTATTTTTAAATAGATTGATTAAAAACAGATACCAGCTGGCTAAGTAATGGGATCCAAGGAGAACTGCCAAATAAATTGTAAGACTTCAGACACTGCATTGAAGATATACAGTTCCTGCTGTTCACTGATCCTCACCTGTCGGCAAGGTAATTGGCCAAATAATGGTTTGTCTTCATCAGCTAAAATCCGCTCTGAAAAAAGAAAAAGACATTTCAGTACTGTTAATTGAACTAAAGTCTGAAAACAAACATAAAGCAGGAAAATGAATGCATTTTTACCTATTGTCTGTATTGTATAAGCACAGCTTCCCCAGCACATTATAGGTACCCGTGGATCTTCTTCATTAGGATGAACTTTCAAGCCTACTTTGTATGTTGCTGTACCAAAAGTTGTTAACATTTCTTTAATGCTCTCAGAATAAGGATTTCTGAAGAAAAAAAAATATATATTACTAATGCCTTATTCCTCTCACTGCCAGACTAGACTTCTGCAGATGAGTATATGCCCCATTCCTGATGCCCCAATTTTATAATTTAAGTGAGAATTTCAGTATCTTACTTCGAATCTACTATTCAATAACTTCTTTTCCTGTGCCAGATACTCTCACAATTATTCATTACTGGGTTGAAACTGGTTCCCTTTGTTAGCTTTAAGAACATCCGGCTCACCCAGATCTGGTTAAGACTAAGAGAACTGCATGTGACTGAAAGCAAATTCTGTCATTAACTTCATTAACTGGAATAGGTGTCCTGAGGTTGTGTGTGCAGTTGGCTAACATCTGCCAATACCATGCAATTAAATTGTATCACTCTTTAAGACACGAACAGAAACATTCCAGAACATCTGAAATTACGTATTAATATACTCTCCATTTCACAGTCTTTGTTAACATACTTTTAGTGCTGAGCTGTAACTGTGAATCCTTAACTCAGTTGTAAGAGGGGTAAAATTCTTCATCATGACAGTGAAGTTATTTAAATAAAAAAAGGTCCTGTTGGCACACTTATGAACCACATCTACCCCTGGAATTATATTGTGTTAATTAATATTCAAGGACTGGTCTTCAATATTTTTGCAATAACAGAAACAGATTTTCTAGTTAAATTAAAATTCATATTTTTGCCATAATTATTGAAATATTATAATAGCAAAGAAACATTTTAATGTATAATTTGATGATAAATTTTCCTGATATATTAAGATACAAAAAACATACTTCGGTTGGAAGTCAGGTCTAAATCCTTCAGGTAACTGCAGCTCATCCATTTTTTCTGAACTACCAGAGTTACCTATATAAACAAAAGTAATGTACACTGATTATTCATCTGTATGTAGTTTTCATATTATAAAAAGTTGTAGGCTCAGAACACTAGAAACTGAAACTCCAAGTTGTTCTCACCACTTTTGTCACCATCTCTGAACTCCACTGTAGTAGAAAAATAATACTGGGTCTGTTTCAGGAACGTTTTAACATTTTCACAGACAGATACACACAGTTCTTTCGACTTACTTGCACAGTCTTCATCTCTAAGTAAATATAGTGCTTTTATTTGTTGGCATACTGTTTTGATCCAATGAGCTAGGTTTGGTTGACCTGAAAAGTCTAACCTGTCCAAAAACATAAATGGAATACACCCATTATTTAAAAAGAAACTATAGTACAGGAATTATAAAAATTCTATCTGCTTAACACCTCTTGTCAAACTATAGGCAGATGACTGTGGGTAGAAGAAGGAAGGTGCGGAAGTACAAGAGGAGGCATCTAAGCCACCTTCAGAGACATTAAGTCTAGTTTCCTGCTCCAAAAAAGGTAAAAATATAGTTATAACTATCACATACCGTAAGGAAAGTGAAGTGACTACTAATCTGCTGCAAGACTGACTGGCTTACAGCTTCAGGAACTTCTCTTGTGAAAACCCATTTATTCCTTGATAGACACAATATTCCCCTGATTTAAAGGGCCATTCAGACCACCAATTAAATGGCTCTACTGAGGGACAGAATTTGTTTATTCTCCTCTTATAGTACTAATAAAACCCACGCAATTTTTTACTGTTATCCTAATTAACGGAAGCTAAAAGCTTGTAAAACTGAAGATAATTTTTTTTAAAAATTCATTTTTAAAAGTTTTTGAACTATAATTTATTTGCCCCCTTATTGTACAAATTAATTCACTTATTTTCACTATAAAATATATATTGCAAAAATGTTTATTGGCTAGTATGCAATTACCATGATGAAATCTGAACATTCAAAAGAAGAAACTTCATCCTCGTAACACACGTAATTGCAACGGAATTTGCACTGACTTAAGTAAATATTTGTAATATGGCATTTGATCTCTGGTAATAACTCTGATGTGGAGCTTCATTTTGAGGATTATTCTTATAGACGAAACCACAAATATACATTAGGATATCCTAGACCTTTATCTTTATTGAGTGTTTATAAGGCAAACAGACCTGTTGAATAAAACTCTTGGTGGAGGAAGCAGAGGAATAACAGTGTTGCTTAAACATTCACAAAGCGGGCAAAGAAATTCACCATTTTCTACATCGTAACTTGTGTGTACTCGTAATCTTTGCTGTCTTCGTTGCTCTTTTGCTTGGACAGCATCAAAATACCTTTAAGAAAAGAAAAGATATTAATGACTAATGATTAATCTGAAGGGAATGAGAATTGCCTCAGATTCTCTCATCTCAGCGAGACGTTAGTAAATGAAAATTATGTAACTCTTTACTATAACCTGCTTCTAGTTTTCTTTTAACCCAGAAAGCTTTCATTGCTTCATGACAATCCTTCTAAAATTTACTAGGTATTAATGCTACTTTTAATGGCAGAATTATCAGTACACTGATGGCGCTGATGGCTGACACGCTATTTGGACTGAAAACCTCAATACAGCTTTTTACCTTTGCCAGCAATGGGCATGCATAATATGTCCACAGCTTCCTGTGTGTGTTCCACACGACAGATCGGGGTGCATGAATAATGGGTCATATTTTTCTGTATTAACAAAAAACAAAACCCAACACTGACATAAGCATTTGTTTATCAGAAAGCTTAACTGCAGATAAACACTACTACATTTATATGCATTATTAAAAACTTTAATGCTCTGTAGAAGTATTATTCACTTGATGAAAAATAAATGATATTGTTAATGCATAACGATTCTATCTGTTAAGCTGTGTAAAAAAAAAAATATATATCATTTTGTACTGAGCATGTGAATTATATTTGAACTTCAAATAAAATATTTCAAGGTGCCAAGTCCTGGCAGTAGTCACCAACATTCACCTGCAGTTTTTATTGTTCAGCACCATTACGAATGCGACTAATAACATTTATCTTCAATATCAGAATGCAAAATGACTTGATGCAATATTTTCTATGTTTTAGTGTGAATAGCACTTACCTGGGTCTGGAATAGTTTTGTTTCTGTTTTTAGATAGCACAGTTGATCTTTGAATAAATGCTGCCAAGACCATAGCCCTGCTGTCCACTTTAACTTCTTGTTCTTCTTGACACAATATACACATGACAACCTGCCTGTGTTCAGCCACTCTGGTTTGCTCTGGTCCCAAAGCTGTGAGTTTTGCATCTGACATTACGGGGCTGGAGTATTCAGAGAAGACTAATTAGCACAGTATTAAAACAAACAAGCTATACCTTAAGTGTCCTTCATACACATTTATAGGTTTATGTTAAATCACAGAATCCCAGAATGGTTAAGGTTGGAAGGGACCTCTCAACCCCCCCTGCTCCAGCAGGGACACCTAGAGCACGTGGCACAGGGTGGCATCCAGGCGGGTTTGGAAGATCTCCAGAGAAGGAGACTCCACAGCCTCTCTGGGCAGCCTGTTCCAGGGCTCTGTCACCCTCACGAGAAATAAGTTCTTCCTCACATGGAGGTGGAACTTCCTGTGTTTCAACTTACACCCGTTACCCCTCGTCCTGTCACCGGCCACCACCGAGAAGAGTTTGACCCCCTCCACCCTACAATCACCCCTCAGGTACTTGAACATGTTGATCAAGTCTCCTCTCTGCCTTCTTTTCTCCAGACTAAACAGGCCCAGCTCGCTTAGTCTTTCCTCATATGACAAATCCTCCAGTCCCTTAATCATCTTGGTGGCTCTAAATACTCAGACAAAAATATTTTCGTGAGTATATAACTATATCCGTGTCCACCAAAATAGTTATGATTTTTTTTTTTTTTTTTTAGGAAAACCCTTTCAGTAGTGCCCTATGCTTGATATCCTTATTTCTTAAGTTATATTTTAACAATTGTACTTATTCTAACAATTTTATTTATCATGCAAAGATGACAAGAATGCATCAATTAGTTTGTATTTAGTATGTTTGACAGTGTTATCTCTTCACAAAAAAATTGCCGTTTCTTCATTTTCTCTTCTTACCACATTAAGAATTTTACTGGATAGCTTGAAAGGAAAAAGTTATTCATCTGTTTACACTGATCATTACAAAGATGAGAGAAGGGAGAAATCAGTATTTATCCTTCAATCTTGACAGTAAATAGAAGGCAGCATCTCCATTTACAGATCCTGTTTTAGTTTCAAGTTTTTGAATAGCCCTCTATCAAGTATAAGAAACAGCTGTTTGATTCAAACAGTACCAATAAGACAGCATGATGTGAAAGCTAGTAAAGTCTCATTTTAATTTTCCTTTACCTATTATCACGTACGCCAGAAGCTGAAGTGTCTAGTTCCTCCAGTGTCTGCTGAAAGAGCTCCTTATTTTCATTAATGAAGTGCCGCTGCATCTCGGACATCTGGGCCATGATCTTCTCCCTGCGCAACCTGGCGATCTCGGCTTTCCGCTTTCTCTCAGCTTTGTCTTTGTCACGGGAACTCTAAAATGGCATTGATCATTTAAAGCCTCGTTAAAACAATTTAATGTTATGCATAGCAGTAGGTAACAAACACTTAGCAATTGGAATCTCGAAGAGACAAAGATCCCAAACAACCAAGTTTTTGTCCTCTTTGCTTTAGCTCCTGATAAACCCCACGTAGAACCACAGAATCAAGAGTTCATTCTTTTCCCTCCCCATTTCATGCTTCTTCTCTCTGTGGGGCATGCATAATATGAAAAAGGAAAGAAAATAACAGGTTGCTAGGGCTGCTCTCCCTCCATCTACACTGGTTCTATTCTTAATGCACTCTGAGGTCTTGGGGTAACATCTAGAACATCATGTCAAGCTAAACAAAACAAGAGTTTATACGGAACGACCTGCAACATAAAAGAAAGAGAGTCTGCAGAGCTTCCCATACAGTCTGAAATGATGGGATGAGCCGAGTCTTTAACTGCTATAATAGTAAGAAGCAAACTTGCCAGAGTTTTGGAGGCTGCATCTAGTAGAGCAAAGCAGGGAGGGAGGAAGGGAGAAGTGGAGGAGCTGAGGGACTCTACCACTAGTAGTTCCTTCCAAAAAAGACTATTGGACTAAGCTACAAGAATTTCTCATCTTTGACTTAATGCAGCAATTAGAAACATAAATTCATTGCTGGTCACACCCCACACCAGCTTCAGATAAACTAACAACTAGAACTTTTTACCTCCTCCATAATATTTCCTTCTGTCTCTGCCACAGGACTTGTAGAGGAGCTTTCTCTTAGCTTCTTAATAGCATTGAAAGTCTGTAAAAAGAAACAAAAACAGAAAAACCCTTCTTAATTAGTTTCACATATGAATATATAAAAACTGTGCTTACTATCATATTGACCAGATAATGGATAATGGTGGGTTTCAGACAAGAAAACAAGTAGGGACAACAAAGCAACATGGGAAATACCAACACCACAGTGTAGTGAGTCAAGTTTCAGTAATCTTCCTTCTAAGATGTTCATAAACTAGATAAAACAGATTTACCTTCAATATCCATCTGATCATGTCCTTGTGCACTTCCAGATGAGGTGCATTTTGCAGTGTTTCTAGCATAGCTAGTATACTAGGGGAATTGTTGGGTGCCTCTCCTGGTCCTGAGGAAAAAAGCAAACAAACAAAAAGACAGTTACACCTGGCAATTCGGTCACTCATCAAAACTGAAAAAAGAAACTTGCATAAAATTAACAGGTGAAGAATCTCTTCAACAAATATGGACAAGTGTATGTCTTTCATTCCCCTCAAATATTTTCTTAAGTACTCTCTCAATATTGAAAAAATAGAGGGAATGGTCTTAAAAGTCCTGCTTGATGACTCTTTTTTTCAAGACCACACAGCCCTTTGGCAGCTTCCATTTACAACTTGGAATATTTTATCTCCCACCTATTTTCAAAAGAAGTCTCATCGACATTCATGTTTTCTCAAAACTACAGGAACTAACCAGAAAATGCATGTGAGAGTCATGATTAAATAACTACTTATTAAGAATACAGGTATGATTTTTGCAATTGTCATGTTTCCCCACGTATTTCATGATGGCAGCAATCTTTGTTGAGATATTTCTTTACAAAAGACACTAAGAATTTGTTGGAAATTATTCCACTTTGATTTCTTTTCTCCCCTAAAATAAGGCATTCTGCTTTCTCCCCTAAAACAAGACTCTCTGCTACTAGCAGAGAGTCTACACATATATGCAAAGTACATATACATAATGTTTTTCTTTTTGTAGAATTTGAGAATTCTCTTTTGCACACTAAGCTATAACACTAATTTCTTTTTTGATTGGTAAACATGCTTTTGGCAAATGCTGTCTCAGAAGAAAATAACATATAGTGGCATTTTCAGTTGTTTTAAGTTTGCTATACATTTAAAAAGACAGGCATACTTGATATTTTCTGAGTGAAGGTAAATGTTACGACATTCTCCTCACTGAGATTCTCTAGATGTTGTTTTTCTTCTTGTAGTGCCATTCCAAGCAAGTGCAAAACCTAAGTAAAAATTATCAGTTTTAGTCGTTTTCTTAAAACACACATATATATAGCTTGAGTAATTCATTAATATACAGAGAAGTTTTACAGCAAAATTAAAATAAGAAGAACATAAAGTACTTCCATAGCTAAATTTGTGACAACATGTGTTCAAAAATTCTTGAAATTTCATCAGCCTAAAGCATTTCACTGCTCATATGTCTTCCCCTGCTGTCCTTGCTCACTCACTATGAACTCTGTGCTTGGGGATAAGTTTCATTAGTTTCCCATATTTCTCAACTATCCCTAGTAAAGGCAAGCTATTATTACAACTCTGGACAGAAGCACAACGATATTTTGTTTGTGCCTGCAAATGCAAACGTGTATATTTAGCCATGTACAAATTTAATTCACGAAAAAATATTAAACCAATTTTAACACTCTAAAAGGTTTTTTAAATAAATAAAAAAGAATATTGACTTAACATTTAGATCAGTAAAAAGCTACAACATTGTATTTTAAAAATAAAATTACCTATCGCAGTTTTTCCTAGCTTCTCACCTGGCTAACGGCCTCAGCAGATGGAGGCCACCTCTCCTAGATGCCTCCTGTCAACCTGTACGTGGGCCACCCAAGCTCAGTGGCTTGTGCAAGAAAATCCACAGCACCAGCGAACACGAAGCTCTGAGCAAATGCCAGATCCTTCTCGAATCCTCAGTTTGCAGAGCAATACAGAGGCACCCAAATGGCTGGGCAGCTTTTAGCTCAGATGCAAAATACCTTAAGCTACTCAAGTACTTATTTTAAAGTTTAACGTTCTTATGCTACTGAAATATGAGTTCATTTTCCTTTTTTTTTCCTCCTATGATTTATAACAACGACATACTTTTTTTTTGTTGTTTTTTGATTTTTTTTTTTTTGAAAAAAGGTATTTTGTATTGATTTCATGTCGATTTAAATTTAGCTAAAATACAATGAGTATTCAAAGCTGGGACTTCACTTCCAGAAAAAATATCTCTCAACATTTTCCAAAAGTTTGGTTCTGGAGGCCAAACATCAATCCCTACGATATGAACAGCCCCCTGGATGGCAGCTCGCCTTTAGCTAACACCTTTTGCACAACATCCGAGGACAAGGACCATCATAGATAACAAAACCTAGAGTAGCTCTCCTTGTTTCTAAAGATTATAAATGCTGAGGAACAAACAGTTCAGTTTACCTTTGCAATACTGAAACATCGTTACAAAGTCTTTTCCTGTTAGAAAATCTTTTCTATATTTTATGATTTTTTTCTAAAATAGTCTACATTGAAAATAAGAAAACAACTATCTCCTCAAAAAGGGCTCTATTCTTTTCAAATTCAACATGCGACTACTCTGTTTGGGTTTGCTGTCACAGCATGCTACAATTTCACTTGATCTGAGCAAAATTCTTCCTTCTTCTCTGCAACTGTTAGAAATTTACTTCTGTCTTCAATAAACTTTTAAAAACAAATTGCACTGGAAGCAGAGAGGTCTCCCCAGCCTGTATCTGATCATTTTCTATCAGAAAACACCACTTACTACTCAAACGTACATACATTCTATACATGTTAATACACCAAATAAACAACACACACAGTAATCAAAAATTTGAAACTGAAAAATAAATAACAATACTAAAAAAACTATAGATATTAAAATGCTGCAATACACATGCCTTCTTCAGCATAAGTCTATCACAGAACACAGAAACATACCCTTTGCAGCATGGATTCCGACCAGGCGTAGCCATTGTGCTCTACTGCCCACTGCAGTATAGTCCCCATAATGCACAACATGACATCAGACTGCAGGATATTAACCAGGCTTGCAAAAAGTGGGCAGAAGGGAGGCAGAGCAGGGGGAGGAAGTGCTGAAAGGGAAATTCGTGTTTCTCACATTTGAACATCTCTATTTGCATTACAGATAAGCATCCTGCAACATTCAGCATTGCTTGCACTTAACATAAAAGCTGAAGGAATAAGCTACTCAAAGCAGGTTCCAGGACATATTAAA